CTTTTCCAGTAGCTGTACTGGCCGCGATCGCCAGGGCAAGTTAATCATTAATCATTAAACACGCTTGCATTTAAACCATGTGTAATATTTACAAAGGTATACTCACCAGAAGTCCCCTGTGTGCCCTCAGGGTCTGGGAGCACGCCTTGGATGAGTTCGGGGGTTACTGGTTCCAGGTCCAGGGTGATAAACATATCCTGGCTGTTGGGGAAACCGGTTTCTCCGCTTGCTTGCTGCTGTGAGCTATCTACATTACCTCCATCCTCATCTTCCTCGTACCCCGAACCCTCTTCCCTGTGTGCTTCTCCAGTGAGGGAGTCATAGCACACGGTTGGGGGTAGTGGTGGCTGCACCCCCTAGAATGGCATGCAGCTCCGCGTAGAAGCGGCAAGTTTGCGGCTCTGCCCCGGACCTTCCGTTTGCTTCTCTGGCTTTGTGGTAGGCTTGCCGTAGCTCCTTAATTTTCACGCGGCACTGCTGTGCGTCCCTGTTATGGCCTCTGTCCTTCATGGCCTTGGAGACCTTTTCTAATATTTTGCCATTTCGTTTACTGCTTCGGAGTTCAGCTAGCACGGATTCATCTCCCCATATGGCGAGCAGATCCCGTACCTCCCGTTCGGTCCATGATGGAGCTCTTTTGCGATCCTGGGACTCCATCACGGTTACCTGTGCTGATGAGCTCTGCGTGGTCACCTGTGCTCTCCACGCTGAGCAAACAGGAAATGAAATTCAAACGTTCGCGGGCCTTTTCCTGTCTACCTGGTCAGTGCATCTGAGTTGAGAGTGCTGTCCAGAGCGGTCACAATGAAGCACTGTGGGATAGCTCCCGGAGGCCAATAACGTCGAATTCCATCCACACTACCCCAATTCCGACCCGCTAAGGCCGATTTTATCGCTAATCCCCTCGTCGGAGGTGGAGTAAAGAAACAGGTTTAAAGGGCCCTTTAAGTCGAAAGAAAGGGCTTCGTCGTGTGAACGTGTCCAGGCTTAATTTCGATTTAGTGCTGCTAAAGTCGACCTAAACTCGTAGTGTAGGCCTAATACATTCTGGGCCTGATCCAAAGCCCAGTAAAATCAATGAGAGTCTTCCAGTGGGCATGAATCAGATCCTTTGACAACAAAGACATCTTTAAAGTAGTTTTGGTGTCCCATTCCCCCCTCCCCTCCATTCTCCTTCAAACAGACAAGATTAAGTGCAAAGACTAGCATTACTGTAATATTAGATTTGAGAAGTCAAACACTCAAAAGTCAGGACATTACAAAAGCTAGAGTTGCAATCATAACATCTTGTACATATCACAATATTGATTAAACAAACAGTAATACTGCAGGCTTCCATTTAAAAAGGAGGTGTTTGTATATCTGCAATAGAAACCTTTTCGTTGGTGATAGGGAATGTCATTACAATTTCATTCCAACTACATTTTTTTAAAAATAAGTCTCTTGTAAAGGGTATGGAACTGAAATAAGTAACCACCTTCAGATTTAGGAGCCTATAGAGATGTAGTTGATGAGAATCACAATTTAGTGAATGTTAATTAACATTTAGATGATAGTAAATTAGTGTTAATTATTGTCAATGTAAACAGCAATCATACTTCCAAATCTCTTTCTTGTTTGGACCTATTTTCTAGTGTGTGGGTGGTCAGATTAGCCTATAACAACATACAGCCATCTTCATACCAGTACCATATCTTGTCATTTATAAGGGTGCATTTATTACCTCATCCCAAAGTATTTTCCCCCTAGGCTATTAATTGTAAGATGCTATAGATACATTTTATGGGTTTTAGTTGTACTAGACATTTATATTCTGTCTGGGAAGCTGAGGCAGAGAGAAAAACCTATAGTGACTAAAAGGGACGGGAGGAAAGATTTCAAACAATCCTGAATGAGAATGTCAAACCAGAATGAGAAAGCAAGTCTCACTGAAGCACACAAGCAAAACCATTAGAACAGAAGGCAGGAGGTTGCATTCAATAGTAAGATGGGGGGTGAGGGGGAAGGGGCAGGAAGAGAAGAGGACGACTAATTTCCTGCCTCAAAGAAAACCCCTCTCCACCTTTCCTAGTGGGAAGACCAGATGAAGAGTTTATAATACACAGCAAAATCCTGCCCGCTCCAGGAGAGAGCAGTTCCAGCTCCCCACTCTGCTGCGCCCGAGGGCTGGCAAACATGACCACGGTGGGTGCAACCACCCTCTACCAGAGGGGAACTGGCCGCGCACTGCGGGCTGGTAGCGGGCACAGCACCGCGGCTGAGCAGCCAAAGGGGAGCGCGGCCATTTGGCTCGGAATCGTTAGGGTTCAGAGTGAACGGTGGCGAAAGAGCCCCCTCGCGTGCGCTCTGCGCGGCGTCTCCGGAGCAGTTCAACTCGCCCCGGAGTCCGTGAACCGAACCGGACCGGGCCAGCACAGCCCCACCGCGCCAGGCGGCCCCGCAGCGCCCCCTTCCGTTCCCCGGGGTAGGAGACCCGATACCCGCCCCCCAAGCGGCTGTTGGCGGCGCCCCGGAGCCGGGTCGAGCCGAAGGGGTGGGCAGCCCGCGCCCCTGGCACTTACCGAGTACATGGGGGCCCAGAGCCGGGAGCGCCCCGCTGCCGCCGCCATCCTGCCCGCGCTACCGCCGGGCTGAGCCCGCCCCGCTTTATCGGCCTCCGCCTCCACCTGGAGCGCCCATTCCCCCGCCCGCCTGCCTGCCTGCCTGCCTCGCTCTCTCTAGCGGGCGGCTCCGAGCGGGGGAGGGGAGAAGCGATCTGTGGGTGCCGCCATGTTGGATACGACGGCGGCCGCATGTGGCCAAAACCGCGCGTGCGTTCGTTCCTTCATTCTTTCGCGCAGCTGCTGGGTCGGGGGAGAACGTGGCCCCGGGGATGAAGCGGAGCCCGGGCGGGTGCGAGCAGGAGGAGGAGGAGGAGGCTGCGCGCTGCTGCCTGCTGGACGCGGTGCTCAGCTCCCTGTATGATCTCGGTGGGTGAAAGGGGGAGCCGCGTGTGTAGGGCCGGGCGTTACCGTCCCCTAGGCAGGGCTCGGGGCTGCTCGCTCCGGGGGCCCATTGCAGACCTTGTGCCCCTTGTGGGAGGGGGCAGTGCAGCTTCTGCAGTTCTAGTGACCCCAGAAAGTTTGTCCGTAAGTCTTTAATCCCCTTTCCTTAGAGACCCGTAGGCTTCCCCCGAGCCGTGTTCAGGTAGCAGTCGATTCCTCCCCAGATCAGGAGCTCAGTCTCTCCTTTGACTGTAAATTTCATGGGCTCCTCAAAATAGCTGTATTACCTCCTTCCCCAGCCAGGTATCTCTGCTTAGCATTTAGCCTTTACTAGGCTAGCAGTCCTTTACTATGTGTCCATCATGTGCCCATCATCACTGTGGTACATAGACATCCTGTGGTCCCTTGTGCAAGTAAACCTGCCTGTTGATCGGGGCTATACCAGTGGCTCTCAACCTTTCCAGACTACCGTATATGCCTTTCGGGGATCTGATTTGTAGTGGGTACCCCAAGTGTCACCTCACTTAAAAACTACTTGCTTACAAAATCAGACATAAAATACAAAAGGGTCACAGCACAGTATTACTGAAAAAATGCTTATTTTCCCATTTTTACCATATAATTATAAAGTAAATCAACTGGAATGTAAATATTATACTTACATTTCAGTATAAACAAGTCAATTTTTAGTTTGTACTGACTTCACTGCTGCTTTTTATGTAGCCTGTTGTAAAGCTAGGCAAATATCTAGATGAATTGATGTAACCCTGGAAGATCTCTGCATACCCCCAGGGGCATGTATACCCCTGGTTGCGAACCACTGGGCTATACAAAAGAGAGTGAAACATTGTGAGGGGAAAACAAACACTAAATGTCTTAAAGTCTGATTATTGGGTACATGAGAAAAGAAAGCTGAAATGTTTGTTTTGAAGCACAGGAGAAGAGCCGTTAGTTAAAAATGAAAAGAAAAAGATCCAAAAGAAAAATGTGGAGAACAAGATGGGGTCAGAACCGTCCAGAACAGTAATGGAAGATAGAGATGCATGCCCTGATTCAGCAATCTCAGGCAAAAGGAAAAGTGCTTCCAGTTTCTTTGAAAAACTGAAAAATGAGATGCATCATGACTCTGTTGATTCAAAACGAGCCACCCCAGAAACCAGGGCTTCTAATGCTGTGTCACCTGAATCTACGCAACAGGGAAAGACAACAGAGGTGGAAGTTGTGACATTTCGTGGTCGGAATAAAAAGAAGAAACCTAAAGTGGAACTCACTCAGGACAGTGTTTCAAAGGTAATAAATGGGTCATTCATTCAGATCAAATGGGAGGTGGGCCAGGGCTCTGAGGTGGTACAGAGTATTCTCTCTTTCATGTACTTGGCTGTCTGGTGTTGTTCACATGCTCAGGGTGGAACTGATTGCCATACGTAGAGTCAGGAAGGAATTTCCCCCCAGGTCAGATTGGCAATGACCTGGGCGGGGAGGGTTTCTCCTTCCTCTGCAGCATGAGGTCTGGGTCATTTGGTTCATCTGGGTACATCACAGTTAATCAATTTCCTGCCATGTCAGGAGCCTCCTGCAGTGGTGCACCTCATTCGCTCCTACTAGTCTCTGCCTGTCAGATAATAGTTTAGTCCCCTGAGGAGTATAATACCTTTGTCTAATTTCAGTGATTGGGTTTAGTGTGCGGGTGCTGGGTGATCTTGGTGACTGTGGTATACAGGAGATCAGAGTAGATGATCTGGTGGTCCCTTCTGGCCTTAAATTGTACGACTTTCTGAAGTCTTGAAACAGCAGAGACTATACTAGGCCAAATCCCTCCCTGGCAAACTCCATTGACATAAAACTAGATGAATTTGATGTTTTTTGACATAAAAAATTGCCAGTATTTTTAGACTATGTTTTGTCCATTATTTATATTATAATAACACAGTAGGCTAGGCTTTTTTCTTACACATTGCTGACAGTGGCTACTTCTTAACATGCCACAAATTTGCTATTTGTTGCTGTAATACATTATAAACATATTTCCTTACAAATGTAAGATTTTCGTCCATATTTGCTTTGACATTCAAATTTATAATGTAGTGATTTCAATTCCTCAGTTAAATCTATTAACTAAGAGTTGCTTGAACGGAAGGTGCATTAAGGATGAGATTTTCATAGCCATCTAGAAGACTAAAAGGGCAACAAAAATGATTGAGGAGAGATTAATAAGACTGGCACTTTTCAGCTTGGAAAAGAGACAACTAAGGGGGGATATGATAGAGGTCTATTAAATCATGACTGATGTGGAGAAAGTAAATAAGAAAATGTTATTTATTCCTTCTCATAACACAAGAATTAGGGGTCACCAAATGAAATTAATAGGCAGCAGGTTTAAAACAAACAAAAAGAAGTATTTTTTCACATAACACACAGGAAACCTATGGAACGCCTTGCCTTGCCAGAGGATGTTGTGAAGGCCAAGAATAAAACAGAGTTCAAAAAAGAACTAGAGAAGTTCATGGAGGATAGGTCCATCAATGGCTATTAGCCATTGGGCAGGGATGGTGTACCTAGCCTCTTTGCCAGAAGCTGGGAATGGGCAAGAGGGGATGGATCACTTGATGATTACCTGTTCTGTTCATTCCCTCTGAAGCACCTGGCATTGGCCACTGTCAGAAGACAGGATATTGGACTAGATGGACCTTTGGTCTGACCCAGTATGGCTGTTCTTATGTTTTTATGTTCAATGTCTAGTTTTTGTTAAAGTTAAAAGGAACTGGACAGCCAAACCCCTTAAATGGCTCTGAAAATACCACCATAGAAGTACAAGGTATTATTATTAATCTGTTGTCTGTCCGGGCAGTGAGTTTATTTTGTAATTTGCCACTGTGAATCATCAGTCAGACACACACAGACATGCTCTCTATGCCTTCAAGTGTGCTTTTAGTAGGGCTGCCGATTAATCGGAGTTAACTCACGCGATTAACTCAAAAAAATTAATCGTGATTAATTGCCGTTTTAATCACAGTGTTAAACAATAGAATAAAGAATACCAATTGAAATTTATTAAATATTTTGTATGTTTTTCTACATTTTCATATATATTGTATTCTGTATTATAATTGAAATCAAAGTGTATATTATTTTTGATTATAAACATTTGCACTGTAAAAATGATAAACAAAAGAAAGTACTTTTCAGTTCACCACTTACAAGTACTGTAGTGCAATCTCTTTATCATGAAAGTGCAACTTACAAATGTAGATTTTTTTTGTTGCATAACTGCACTCAGAAACAAAACAATGTAAAACTTTAGAACCTACGTGTCCATTCAGTCCTACTTCTTGTTCAGCCAATCACTAAGACAAACAAGTTTGTTTACATTTGCAGGAGATAATGCTGCCCACTTCTTGTTTACAGTGTCACCAGAAAGTGAGAACGGGCATTTGCATGGCACTTTTGTAACCGGCATTGCAAGGTATTTACATGTCAGATATGCTAAACATTCATATGCCCCTTTATGCTTTGGCCACCATTCCAGAAGACATGCTTCCATGCTGATGATGTTTGTTAAAAAAATAATGTGTTAATTAAATTTGTGACTGAACTCCTTGGGGGAGAATTGTATGTCCCCTGCTCTATTTTACCCGCATTCTGCGATATATTTCATGTTATAGCAGTCTCGGAAGATGACCCAGCACATGTTTGTTTTAAGAACACTTTCACTTCAGATTTGACAGAACACAAAGAAGGTACCAATTTGAGATTTCTAAAGATAGCTCAGCACTCGACCCAAGGTTTACGAATCCAAAGTGCCTTCCAAAATCTGAGAGGGACGAAGTGTGGAGCATGTTTTCAGAAGTCTTAAAAGAGCAACACTCCGATGCGGAAACTACAGAACCAGAACCATCAAAAGAGAAAATCAACCATCTGCTGGTGGCATCTGACTCAGATGATGAAAATGAACATGCGTCGGTCCGCACTGCTTTGGATTATTATTCAGCAGAACTTGTCATCAGCACGGACGCACGTATTCTTGAATGGTGGTTGAAGCGTTAAGGGACATGTGAATCTTTAGCGTATCTGGCATGTAAATATCTTGCAACGCCGGCTACAACAGTGCCATGTGAACACCCGTTCTCACTTTCAGGTGACATTGTAAACAAGAAGCAGGTAGTATTATCTCCTGCAAATGTAAACAAACTTGTTCGTCTGAGTGATTGGCTGAACAAGAAGTAGGACTGAGTGGATTTGCAAGCTCTAAAATTTTACATTGTTTTATTTTTGAATTATTTTTCTTGTACATAATTCTACATTTGTAAGTTCAACTTTCATGATAAAGAGATTGAACTACAGTACTTGTATTAGGTGAATTGAAAAATACTATTTCTTTTTTTATAGTGCAAATACTTGCAATCAAAAATAAATAGGCAGTGAGCACTATACCCTGTGTTCTGTATTGTAATTGAAATCAATATATTGATTGAAAATGCAGAAAACATCCAAAAATATTTAAATAAATGGTATTCTATTATTAAACAGTGTGATTAATCACAATTAATTTTTTTAATCGCTTGACAACCCTTTTGTGTGAAAAAATATGGTTACTTCTAAGACCCCAGTTCTGCAAAGATTATGCATGTGCTTAACTTTATGAATAGTTCCATTGTTTTCAATGGGACAACTCATAGTAGTAAAGTTAAGCATATGTGTGTCTGTAGGATTGAGGTTCATTTTCCCAGTTTAAGGGAGATGTTTAAACAGATTTATTCAAATTTATAATGCTGGTGGAATACTTCAGGCACTTTGCACAGACTAACAATATTTACAACAAAATTTAAATAATAATCAATGTATAGAACTTACAATGCTACAGTAAAAAACAAGCCTGCCAAGTGATAAATAAAACAGTGAGTCATACCCCTTGTATTCCCAGCCTTCTTATACAAATAGCATGAGTTAAGCTTTTATAAGCGCCTTGTTCAGTAGAAATATGTTTGTTGCTTCAGTTCAGAAGTAAAGCTTTGAATAGTCTTCAACAAGCAACGGCAAAGATGGGTCTAGTGTCCTAAAGACAAAAGTCTGTCTGTCAGACTCTATGTACATATTTTGTGTTGTCACTGAGCCACCAGCTGGCTCTGCTCTGATCTTGTGAGGTGGGATAGAAATGACATCCATAAGGATTCTTCCTCTTTTCTGGAATCACAATCTTCTACAGTCAGTGCTGTGTTTGCTCATATACAAGTTTGGAGAATCAGATAGCTCAGGGAATTGAGGATGAGAAAATGGAGCCTTTTAGGTTGTTGGCTTAAATCCAGACCTGGTCTGCAGTTGTCTGGTGGTCTCAGTCCATTTCTTAATGGTATTCAGATCCCAAAAGTCACCATCCTAACTGGCCCACTTGTTGACAGAGTGAGCAGAGACAAGGATTGACAGAGCCTGGCAACTGAACTACCTCCCATGCCTAGAAGAGGTTCCCTTCAGTTATTAATTAGTTACAGAGTTTTGGGGTAGCTTATGTGTGTATTTCAAAAATAGTGTTTATTGCCATAATCTCTAAGGTCCTGATGCTAAATTGAGCTTTGCCTGGGTGGACCCCTGTGCCCGCATGGAGTTCCACTGCCCGAAGCAGGGCTCTGCGCAGGTCCAGGGTTCTGCTGAGGTGGAGCTCGTTGCAGGACTTGGACCAAAGTCATGAACAGCTCGTGAGAGCTGCAAACCACTGTCCATTTTACAATGGGTTCTGCTGTTCATCCCTCTGTTTCTAGGAATCTCTTTACATTGTTTTCCCCCCTCCCCAACACACTCTTCTCCCTCTTCTTCGTGTTTATGGTTTTTCGCTTATGGAAGGTTTTCGCAAATAGCATGTTACAGAGTGCTTGTCATTTCCAGAACAATCAGATGGTTGAGTTGTGACGTTTCATATCTGAATTTTGCCAAAGGTTAGGGGTATTTGGGTTTGATGTGTTGAGTTAACTTGATACAGAGAGGAGCTGTGGCATGAAATTCAGGTTTGATACAAAAGGGGGTTAAAACTCTGGGGAGAAAGTGGGCAGGAGAAGAATCCTTTTGCATTTAGACAGTAAAAGTTGAGTGGATGCAACAGTGAAATGGTCTGAATTTTCCAATCCAGAGTGCTGCCACGCTGCATCAGCCTGCTTAGGAGCTGGCTGAGTATTGGCCTAGAGAGGTTCTGCAGTTTGATGTGACTGCTCCCTGATTGCCAAACTCAAAAATTAAAAGGAAAAAAAAAAAAGGGGAAAAAAAAGACAAACTGAAATAACTGCATGAGATTTATTACCAATCTGAAGTGCACAGAGAAACTTTCAGGGTCCAACATGAATGCATTACACACCTTTGCAAGTAGCACTGTATCCTGAAAAGAGCAGAAATCTTACATGAAAATAGCCTGTGTAGAGACAGTTGATGCTGTTCTCAATTTGTCAATTCGTGCTGCTTCGTACCCTGCCATGACATCTCCTTCCTCCAGCAACTGAACCATCTCAGAACAATCTAGAGTTGTGGGATTTTTGGTTAAGTCTGCAACTGTAGAACCTCAGGCAACACAGCCTTCCAGTCACAGCTGAGGCATGTTGGCAGGGTAATGTGAAGAAGCATTCATTGCTGCTGCCTCTGCTGTGCCAGTTCTTTGGTTAAACCAAGTTATTCACTTTCCGGGACTGTCCACCCAAACTCCTTTCACAAGCATGAACTTTACCTTTTGAGGAAAAAAAAATATCACACAAAGCCGAGCAGATACAGGGCTCTGAAATGATCTAAGCTTTGGGTGCATGAGTTGCTTAGCAGAAAAGATGTAGTTTGTATTGTTCTCATTGTGGGCAACTAATAGTAGATTGCTTTATTTTATTTTTTAAAATAGTGCTTTTATTGGCCTGCCATTGTTGACTGTGCTCCTGCATAAGATTTTTCTCTTGTATCCATCATTTAAGATGGCTATATACATTAATATATTTGTTTGTGCAAACAACTATAAATTGAGCATTGTCCTGCATATTACCACAAGTTGTCAGGCAGATACTGGCACCACTGTTCCCTCGAGGGATACACAGTTTTTCCATGGCTGATGTACAGTTTGTTTTGACCATTCTGTGTGTCCCATATTTAATGTGTGAAATAAGTGATTTCAAGCTTGTATCCTCTTCTTATTCTTTCTTGGTAATCTTATTACAAATTAGTAATAGAAGTATGTAAGGTAAAGATGTATTTTGCCGGCAGTATTTTTTTTTCTTTCTGACAAACTGCAAATTAAATTTGAACTTTTAAAGCAAGTCTGCATTGCAATTGTTATGCAGAATGTGGCCAGCATATTTTTAAATAGTGAGTAATTGTGGAATACCAGTGTCCACACAAGATGAATAGAGTCTGCTTTTAGATTATATTTCTTGTGTGACATTCACAGTGGTAAAAGACTATCAAACAGGAACACACACACAGGATAAAGACACATGCATTTTTAGATTTCATACTCTGGACCCTACACAAATTCCATATAAAAGTCTAAAATGTCTACATATTGTAACAGACACACAAGAGGTTCCTACTGAAAGGCTCTATACTCTTTCTAGCATTTTATTGCCATTCAAATAACTCTCGCCATTGGCACACATTTTACATCGCTGCTGTCAGATTTAAATGGAAACATTTTCTTTTCTTTATAGACAAAGATGGCTATTCCAGAGAAAAATGTGGATGGACAAGAATTTAATTTAGAAAAAGTAAGTTACTCTGGCTTATCTAATCATACATACAATATGATGGGAGCTAATTTAGCTACAACAAGTCAGGAAAAAGATCTTGGAGTCATTGTCGATAGTTCTCTGAAGATGTCCGCGCAGTGTGCAGAGGTGGTCAAAAAAGCAAAAAGGATGTTAGGGATCATTAAAAAGGGGATAGAGAATAAGACTGAGAATATATTATTGCCCTTATATAAATCGATGGTACGCCCACATCTCGAATACTGCGTAAAGATGTAAAAAAAGATATACTGGCACTAGAAAAGGTTCAGAAAAGGGCAACTAAAATGATTAGGGGTTTGGAACGGGTCCCATATGAGGAGAGATTAAAGAGGCTAGGACTCTTCAGCTTGGAAAAGAGGAGACTAAAGGGGGATATGATAGAGGTATATAAAATCGTGAGTGATGTGGAGAAAGTGGATAAGGAAAAGTTATTTACTTATTCCCGTAATACAAGAACTAGGGGTCACCAAATGAAATTAATAGGCAGCAGGTTTAAAACAAATACAAGGAAGTTCTTCTTCATGCAGCGCACAGTCAACTTGTGGAACTCCTTATCTGAGGAGGTTGTGAAGGCTAGGACTATAACAGCGTTTAAAAGAGAATTGGATAAATTCATGGTGGTTAAGTCCATTAATGGCTATTAGCCAGGATGGGTAAGGAATGGTGTCCCTAGCCTCTGTTTGTCAGAGGATGGAGATGGATGGCAGGAGAGAGATCACTTGATCATTGCCTGTTGGTACACTCCCTCTGGGGCATCTGGCATTGGCCACTGTCGGTAGACAGGAGACTGGGCTAGATGGACCTTTGGTCTGACCCGGTACGGCCGTTCTTATGTTATGTTAATGAATGCTTTGTGTGTGTGTGTTTGATTGGGAAAGTTAAAGTCGAGACCAATTTGGAATGTTCTTAGATAAGTTTATCTTTTGCAAACAGAGCATTCCAGAATATATTGTTTGGTGCAGGCGTGTCAGAGGACTGCTAGAGCTGTTGTGTAGGGCAACCTTTGAAGATAAATGTATCACTGTTGTTCCATGTCCTCTTCTTTCTAATGTATTGGTAGCCAATAACGAATGGTCACTGGCTCACTCTGTGTGAGCTTCTTATAGCTCCTCTCCCTCTATTTGTTCTTTAGTTATATTATTAAACTAAAATAAAAAATGTGTATTTACTAATTTCTCCTCTGCATGTGTACCCAGAGACTGGGTGGAAAAAAATAAACAGGTAATGACAGGTGTTCCACAGTAGTACCAAATTTGATTAGTCTTATTTTATAACATGTTGATTTGCCAAACATTTGTTAAGCATTCTCTGGAATAGATTTCTTTTGTGGCGTGCCAACCATTGTTTTGTGATAGCTCATACCTTCTCTGAAATGGTTTCAAATTTCTGTAACATTTTAGGCCCGTCTGGAAGTACACAGGTTTGGAATCACTGGATATGAAAAGAAAGAACAGCGGATATTGGAACAAGAACGTGCCATCATGCTGGGAGCCAAGGTATATAAAGATGGTACAAAATGTTGGTTTTTGTCACTTTCTAAAACACTTTTTTTTTTAATCACACCCCTGCTTTTGTATACGTTTGGACAGTCTCTGGAGGATGGGAAGAATTAGTAGGTGTATGACATCAGAAGTGCCCAGAAAGTGAAAATATGATTCAGAGGGAAAGTGATTTCTATTGAGGCCATTTGAAATTTAGTTTGTGAATTTTGTGGGTTTTTTTAACCCTTACTTAACTTGTTTTTCTCTCAGTGTTTCAGTTAAGGCCTTAGGGAGCTTTCCATCTACATTTCCGAGTGGTCCAAGAAACCACCACCAAAAAAGGAAAGAAAATAACAGGCAGAAATCCTTTTTCTTTTAGTGTTTGTTTGATTTTGGGAGTTCTTTTATTGGGGAGGAGTGTGTGGAAACCTTTTAGACTTTCTTAATAAGCCCCCCGTGTCCACTCCCCAAAAAGGACACAAACCTATTTATTCTGTTTCCCTTTGTAGGCCCTCATGGAAGCTGATGCTGTGTAGAAGCATGTAGATTTTTAGAATATGTTTGAATCTTTCTTGTAATGATAGCTTTACTCATCTGTTTCACTGCAGCCTCCCAAAAAGGAATATTTGAACTACAAGATTTATCAACAGAAAATTAAAGAGAAGAAAACAGTGAAGAAAGAAGATCATAGTATGGTTTGTATGCGATGTTTCCTATAAAATAACAAGGGGCAGGTCGCAACTAGCCCAGTAGCTTAATGGGATAATGACCCAGGTTTCATTACCAGTTCCAGCCTCTTATTACTTGGCACTCTGCCTTGAAGATGGAAGGATATTGTTCCAGTCAGCTGCAACTCGTTAGATTGTACTGTGGTATTGATATTCTACAGAGTGTCCCATCCTATCAGAAGGACAGCAGCCATTATATCTAGCCTCAAGAGTGGGGGTTGTAGAGGATTCTAACAGGAATAGAGAGGCTGTCACATGCTCCCTGTCCCATAGATCTCACCTCTCTCTCCCCCTATTCCCCCTAAGGTTTTGTGGCAGGACTGGGAGATCCACTGAGGTTTGTAGTAAGCTTTACAGAGATTATACAGTAACTCCTCACTTAAAGTCGTCCCGGTTAACGTTGTTTCGTTGTTATGTTGCTGATCAATTAGAGAACATGCTTGTTTAAAGTTGTGCAATGCTCCCTTATGTTGTTTGGCAGCTGCCTGCTTTGTCCACGGCTTGCAGAAAGAGCAGCCCATTGGAGCTAGCTGGTGGGTGATTGGAACCAGGGTGGACCAGCAGCCCCCCTATCAGCTCCCCTAAGTTCCCTGTGCGGCAGCCGATCAGCAGGCTATCAATTGCTGGGCAGTTCAGCTGTCCCTCCCCCCACTGCCATGTGCTGCTCCTGCCCTCTGCCTTGGAGCTGCTCCCGGGAGCCTCCCGCTTGCAGTGCGAGGGGGGGGCGGGGGTGCTAATGTCAGGGTGTCCCCCTCTTCCCCCACTCCTTTACCCCATCAGGCCATTTCCACAGAGTGGGGTGGGGGGGGGGACAAGACAGGGCTCAGGACAGAGGGAGCTTGCTGGCAGCAGCTGCTGTCTCAACTTGCTGATCTACTTAAAAAGGCAATGTACTTAAAGTGGGGTCAGCGTACTTAAAGGGGCAATGCGCATCTCTCTCTCTCTCACACAGGGTGTGTGTCTCTGTCTGCCATGCTGTCTCCCCTCCCTCCATTTGTGCTGCCTTGTAAAGTGTGAGGCTACATTAACAACAATGGGTTAAGCCCTGAGGGCTCAGCCGAGTACTAGTTCATCATTTAGCAGTAAGGCATTCCCTGGGAAATATCCCACCCTCTGACTTTACCACCTCAACCAAGCTTCACAATCATCATTGCTGTGTACAGTATTAAATTGTTTATTTAAAACTAATTTCCCTGGAACCTAACCCCCCCATTTGCATTAATTCTTATTTGGGAAATTGGATTCACTTAACATTGTTTCACTTAAAGTCGCATTTTTCAGGAAGATAACTACAGCATTAAGCAGGAGTTACTGTATTTGTAAATTCCAAAAGGTGTGGGAGGACTTCTTGGTAACTCAGTGGAGCTGCCGTTGATGCTGATCAAATCTTTTTCCTTGGTCTTTCCAAGGTCTTTCCAAAACTGCCTTGTCCATCTGTGGAATTGTGAAACAGATCGCCATATTAGGAGGGGAGCCTAGAGTTTATTACTCCACTTACTCCCATGAGTTATTTGTCCTGATTCTAGCAGGGCTGTTCCCATCAGTGAGGATTGTTCACATGGTTATGGAGGATGCAGATTTAGGATAATATATTTGGTTTAATTTCCCACCCGCCAGCCCCACTCTTAAAGTTGACAAACTGTTTAAATCAAACTAGCAGTATCGCTTTCACCTTTCAAAAGAAACAGAATTAACTTTAGTGGATTTTTACTGCACGTTGCCTAATTACATTTGGCCAGATCCTCAGCAGATGCAAATCTGCATAGCACCATCAAGGATCCAGCCCATTATTTAAGCCACCATGAAACAGTCCGCTCCCTAGACACACAATATGCAGGAGCCTTTATGTTGTGGACTGCTGTTTAGCCAGGAGTGTCTGTTCGTTTTCCACTGAAATATTTATCTTTAAATCTGATATCAGGAATATAAATCTGATTCTATCAAGAAAAAGAAGAAAAAGGGTCAGGAGCAGAGGTGAGATATTTTAACTAAGTATTGATAACAAACTTGCTTTTGCTTAAGCTTTCCTGGTGAATTGCCTGTAATTAAAAATGCAGTCTTATGGAAAAGCTGTGCATATCAAAATGGAGTGTATTTTTCATATACATTGTAGAAACTCCTCACTGCAACTTTGTGATCTTGTTTTGTCTAACCTTTTAAACTTGCTAATTTAAGCATTCTCAATTAAACTGCCTTAGTTCTGCCCTGACTTGTCAAAAGGTTTTGAAATAATGGTCTGAGAATAAGGTGAGGCACTTGATGTGAAATCTAGTGCCTTCCACCCCCATCTTACAAAACAGGGCATTGTTTTTGTCCCTGAGGAAATGTTTTGCAGGATAAATTTTAAAAACCACATGACATGCTCAGAAGGTGTAATTGCATTTTTAATTACAGTGTAGTTGGTTCATTGGAACTATTTCTGTATTTCTCTAAGAGCCTTTATGCTTTCTGATTTTATTTATACAAATATCTGTGTGTGGTTAGTTGTTAAGACAAAGTTTAATCAAATGCATAAGTGTTTGCAGGATTGGGCTATATATTTGTAAAACTTTTCAAAACATATTCATGGCATAACTAGGGCCATAAAATAAGGAAAAAGTACATGGAAAAAGGCTACCTTTGACCTAAATGAAATAATGTACTCCTAATATTTTTCTTATTTTTGTATATATTCTTCTAGGGGTGGTTGATTTAAAATTATAACTGACTTTAGGGAAGGGCTAACCTTCTAATTTTAATTTTATTTTTAAAATTTGTATCATATTTTTGGAGTTTGTGTCAATTTAAAATTTGTGTTTATTTAATGTATTAGATGCAATGGCCTGTAGCTAAGACTCTATATTAATAAACTTCAAACTACTACTATTGCATAATTATAGGTTATGAAACAGGTGTATTTTCACCTTAAATGTAGCATTTTTTGCAGATATTTTGGGTGCTTTGGTTGCAGTGCCGGCTCCAGGCACCAGCCCAGCAAGCAGGTGCTTGGGGCGGCCCCTGGAAGTGGGCGGCACATCCGGCTCTTCAGCGGCGGGTCCCTCAGTCTGTGTCAGAGGGACCGGCCACCGAAGAATGAAGCGGCGGCGTTAGAGTTCCCAATTGCGATCGCGGCTTTTTTTTTTTTTTGCTTGAGGCGACAAAAACTATGGAGCCGGCCCTGTTTAGATGATGACTTTTCTTTATCCTAATTTTATTTTATTTTTTTAAACCTAGGAAATCCAAAAAGAAAAAATCAGCAGTCAGTGTTTTGCCAACAGGACAGGTTGGAAAATTTACAAATGGGACATTGATTCTTAGAGGTAGTGACCTAAAGAAAATTAAATCATCAAAAGCAGTTAAATGAAGTTGTTACACCACATCAAAACAGAAAGTGAAAAATGAGCTAGAATTAATTTCCTAACTGAAAAATGTCTACATAGCCAATGTTTCTTTGCTGTATTTTAATACCTGTCGCAATACCTTGAGGGTTTTTTTAACCTCAACATCACCGAGTTTCCACTCTGGGGAGAACATAAAATACATTGTTACATCATAAATTCTGAGTAAGAAAAAATAAGTTATTTTTTCCTAATGACAAGTAACCTAAATAAACTATTACTTTCATTGGCTAACAAAGGTATTGTACTTTATTCGTCTGAGAACTGTTCACTTTGCGAGCTGAAAATTACTTGGGTGTTGTCTCAATGCAAAATGTTTGTTTGTTTGGGGTTTTTTTAACTGAAGCAAAAAGGTTTAGCTGTTTGAGTATGAGGACAGTGAGGAAATAGCCCAAGCTTTTCTATTTAAAAATAACATTCTTTGGATGTTTGCACTTTTTTTTTAAACAGCTCTTGCACTGAAATACAACCATAGGTGGGCAACTCAAGTTTAGCAGGGAGAATAACCCTCACTGTGGAGTCCATGCTTCTGAATGTCCTGGTGACAATTGGCAGGCAGTTGGTCCAGTAATGAGAGTTCAGAAAGCACACTTCATACATGCACAGCACCAGGGATGGATTAAGGCAATTTCGGGCCATGTGGAAGGCATGACAGAGCCCTCCAGCTTGGCTCTTCTCTCCTCACAGAGAAGCAGGGGCATCAGCATGGGATTCCCTTCTCCCCAGGAGTGGCGTTGTATGTTGTCCTCTCTTCAGCAGAGGCAGCAGGGGTTCACCCACTTCTACCTCCCCAGCGAAAGGACAGCAGCCGGGGCTCTCCAGTACTTCATCCCAACAGCCAGGGCATATTTATTAAGGGGTTGTCCTCTGTGGGGGTGGTGTTGGGACAGTCCCCCACAGTAGGGTCTTGGCATTAATGCCCCATTGAAATGCAAGGGGCAGTTCATACCTCTTGTAGCTACGGCTTAGGGTTCTCAACTAACTCAGGCAAACATAAGAATGGCCATACTGGGTCAGACCAAAGGTCCATCTGGCCTAGTATCCTGTCTTCCAAAGTGGCCAATGCCCCTGTGCTCCAGAGGGAATGAACAGAACAGGTAATCAAGTGATCCATCCCCTGTCGCCCATTCCCAGCTTCTGGCAAACAGAGGCTAGGGACACCATCCCTGCCCATCCTGGCTAATAGCCACTGATGGACCCATCCTCCATGAATGTATCTAGTTCTTTTTTGAAACCCTGTTCTAGTCTTGGTCTTTACAACATCCTCTGGCAAAGAGTTCCACAGATTGACTGTGCGTTGTGTGAAAAGCATCACTGCATTAATTACTCTGTTCATGTTTTCAGGGGCTATTTTGCAACCCTAAAGGCTAGAAACTTTTTATTTTATTTTAAAATGAGAGTTCCGATCCTAACAGTCGCCTGACTCCTGAGGTGGGGGTCACAGGCACATGCCCTGCGGGATCCTTGAGCTGTGGTTTGTTTAGCCACTTTCACCACCGTTCTAAACAAAGACTAAATTGCATATCTGTTTGGGCTAATGGGTATGCAGAGTCGTTTCTGCATATTGAGCATTGTCCACTGAGCATGCTTGGTAGAAAATGTTAAATTGACATTATATGCTCAGAGATGAGTTCACTGCAGAGCCAAGTGCTCGTGTTTCAAAACTGGTTAAGGCAGCAGTTGAGTTTCGCCTCCCTGCTATGTTATAACTTGAATTTTCACACTCACTGCCAACCCCTCTAGCCCACTTCTTCTCTGCTCCACCTTTGAGTTAAGGTAGCTCAAGCTTTTTTTCTTGGCTTCAGTTGCTTAGACCCTAGTGAGCTTAGGAAGCTTATAGGGATGTAGCCACCTTAAAACTTATGCAGGAGCAAAGCTTCAGTCATACGGAGCTCCTAATCTTTGCAGAACTAGAGCGCAAACCTTGTGGGATCTGTTAAGGAGCTGAGCAGCACTGGATGCAACTTTTTTCTTTATATAATCCCTCTCCTCCCTACAAAAAAACCCCTAGAAAATGAAGGTCCAAAACCAACAATGTTATAGTTGCTCATAAAAGCATTACACTCCGGAAATGCAAAAGGCTGAACACACAAGCCTAATTCTTCCTCTTGTATTATGACTGAAAAATCTCCTATGCTCATACTGTTTGTCAGTATAACATTTCAACAGCAACTCTTAAGGTAATTATATTACACATATGAAGAACTCTGTGTTTCTGGTTAAATATGTAGCTTTAATTGCTGTTAAGTAAAAATGGTAAAACTTATGTAATGAGCAATGCCATTGAGTAAACATTGCTGTGAAACCTTAACTTTTTTTATGTATTTCATATTGTATTGAGAAAACGTAACTAATGCATGGACACAAGGGGGAAGTGGGTAGTTGCATGTTCATCCTGTACTTTGTATGTAATGTTGTAGCTGTGTCGGTCTTAAGATATTAGAGAGACAAGGTGGGTAAGGTAATATATTTTATTGGACCAACTTCTGTTGGTGAGAGAGAGAAGCTTCCGAGCTACACAGAGCACTTCTTGGCTTGAAGAAGAGCTCTGTGTAAACTCAAAAGCTTGTCTCTCACCAACAGACGCTGGTCCAATAAAAGATATTACCTCACCTGTCCTGTACTTTGTCATATGCTGACGTGAATGTTTCACTGTGCAACTTGAACAGTGCATTTATTGTTTTGTCTTTGATTTCCTATATGGCTGTAATTTTCAAACTGTGTGTATGATAGGGGGTGCGGTAGGCTCTTGCAATGGAACAGCAATAGAGACAGTGTTGGTGGTAGAAAACACAATGAAATGTGAGAGGTGTACAACCAGTACTGACTGGACTAGCAGCAAAAGAAAGCTGATTACTTACTTTATTCTGCCTTCTTCCTGGGTAAGGGACGGGGAATCTCTACATCCTGCTGGAATTGAGAGGTTCCCTTTCCTTAACTGCTCTTCCTTCTAGCCCTCACATCCTAACCACAAGCTTTCTGACAATCCCCAGAAAGGCTGCAGCTGTCACTACTGAGTCTTCCCTCTTCCAACACCTGTTTCTTCCCCACCCACCTTTTACCAACCTGTGGAGTCAGGGAGTGGGGCATCAAACCTAGGTCTCCTGCAGAACGCTACCCTGACACCATGATTCCCCCTGCCTTTATGCTTGAGTCTAGCCACCATCTCCCGACAAGGTGTTCCCACTCTAGCTCACTGCTTAATAATATTAATAACTGTGGAAGCCTCACAAGGAATGTAAGGTACTTCCCTTCCCCTAGGGGGTAAGTTCACTGCCTCCATAGCATTTCTCAGTCCCTTGCTAGCCTGAATATGCAGTTTCATGTACTTTATATGTGGCTGTATGCAATGTGACTTCAGTAGAGCCCAAAGGTATTAAGAACATAAGAATGGCCATATTGGGTCAGATCAAAGGTCCATCTAGCCCAGTATTTTGTCTTCAGACAGTGATCAATGCCAGGTGCCCCAGAGGGAATGAACAGAACAGGTAATCATCAAATGATCCATCCCTTGTCACCCATTCCCAGCTTCTGGCAATCAGGTCATCTACTTTCATAGTATTACAATTACTATTGTACCCTGCCTATTTCAGTAATTTATTTGAGAAATTCTGGAGCGTAGGAAACCATTCAAAAGTCTCTCAGCCATAGATTGAGCTAAATAACATGTTAGAATACACTTCACAAATGCTCAATGCACACCATACAAAATATACAGCTGATTGGAGGATTCATTCCCTGCCGTGGAAGTTAAGTAGTGTTCTAAACCAGAAAATGAATAATTGTGTGAAGAAGGTGAATTTCCTCAGCTTTCCCCTGCCATTAAATCAGCAGGTTATTCTGCTAACTTTACCAAATTGTTGGTTGCATTGTATGAGTGCAACTTGAACTTTATAACAGCCATTTATCAGTAATAGTAAACCAGGCACCATCAATGAATTTGTTGGCAGTGTATTAAGAATTTATTTAAAATCTGTAAAACAGCATAAACTCATAGGTCAGGTTTTCCAAAAAGGATATTAATACACAGTCAGATTTGGACCAAAAGACAAAAAAAGTTTTGTTTCCAATTAAAAACATACAAACTTTTGCTACAGGTACAAAATTATAAAAAGTTTATTTTTTTCCTTTTGATCTGGTGACGTACATATACAGAAGTGATGTATATTCCACCAGGTCCAATTGATGGAAACTATGGGAAATTATGAAAGTAAAAATGTCATGGTTAGGAAGAAATCAGGAAACAAGTTTTGTCTTTTATTTAACCAGATGTGAACACTTATTTTGTTCCTTTGTACTTTTTTTTGCCAACATTTAAATTAATGTCTTTCATGCTTCATATCACAATTGGAGAAAAAACAGCAGTTCTACCTCATGCATTAATTCTGACATTTCATCACATTGTGTCTCCTCGCTGTGCTTCATTCATTAGTTAGAAAGCTTGATATTTTTATTGACAGCATTTATGCAATGGTGTATTGGGTTAACATCATGATTGCTGTATTGAGAGAATGAAGTCTGGACCCCTAAATGTTCACATACCAATCGACTATATAAACTTGGAGATTCTCCAAGTGGCATGGAATTTAGTTTTGCATCTTGTTCTACTTGGATTTGCTTGCAGCATAGCTGTCAGATGAGCTCATTTGACCCAGAAATGCTACTGAACACCCGTTTCAGTAAAAAACACATCCATTTTCTATATTGTGCAAGGATGCAGAAGTCCTGGAACATCTATTCTCTGTGGTTTGCATGGGCTTCTGCACCTAAGAAGCCTGTATGCATTTTAAATGGATTTGTGCTTGAAGTTCCTATTCTGTTTCATGTGGACATCCAGCATTACTGATCAGAGGAATCCCAAACAAATGCTGTCAATAAAAATGAGAAACAGCTCATTTCCTTTAAAACAAAACAAAAAGACAGATAATCTTATTTTCAGGGACCAGTGAGGTCTTTTACATGTGAACATACCATTTTGTAATGTTTGATATATTACTTTAAGCTGCTGAAGGACTCACTGAGCTTGTAATCTCTCTTCCATCGATGAGCTGGCCAAAATGTTTTATTATTACTCTACAACAAGGTTAATGCTCTGCTTTGCTATTAAAAAAGACCCTGCAAAGGTGGCAAAGCCTGAGATTAGGCCTAACCATTTCGCTTTATTAACTATCTGTTTTGGAATGCAGGATTCCAGTACTTTTCAGCATCTTACCTTCTCATGGGACCAGGTTGGCAAAGCAGAGCTGTATTCTGGTAAACACCCCAGATCATAATCTCAGACCCAGTGCTTTGCATTTGTTGGTGGTGGATTAGCCTTGATTTTATCTCTTTAACCTAGTTTATTCAATAATCTCCATATTAAAGTAAGAAGGCAAAAAAACTGTATATCACATTTCTTCTTGCTCTAGAACATCTAAGAAACTAGGGTATCCAGTGCTCTTTGCCATCTTTTTTAATTATACTTAAAAAAACAAAAAAACAAACAAAAAAACAAACAAACCCCACAACACCTACAGACCAACAACAGATTACCAGCCAAAAACCAATTACAGCACTACATTACAATGTTCTTATTTACAATATGATGGAATATTATGTATATAATAAATTACATTAATACTTTTCCTCTTAAATTCTGATATATGTAATCTCATGAATTTTTTTCCTTCAGTCCAATATACGTATATTTGTCCTCTATAGCTCTCTTTAATTATATAGGCTATAATGGGAGACGACACTGGTTTCACCTGTCTTTTCTAAATTTAAGAAGCCAAATTGCACTACAAATTCTGGATAAATCACAGCTCTCTTCACTAACATTTACATTTTAAAGATATATATTATGCGCTTTTTATGTACCTTTTAAAATGAGAAATAACAAGGGATTGTCTGACAGGCCCACGTGCAAACTGACCAGGTTGTAGCAACACTTTTGTGTGAGCTTCTGTTGAAAAGATCTAATTAAAAGAAGCCAGTAGTGGCTGCATAGGCCTACAACAGTATGTGGCTCTGACAATGGTGTGTGGCCCTGTAGAGCTGGAACCCCACAGAGGTTCTTGGGGTAGGGGAGGGGAGAAGAGCATGGTCCTGAGGTGAAACTCCTCTCCCGCCACTTTCTACAGCCGCACAAGTTTTCTAATCTATTTTACTGAACATACTGGGGAAATCTGTAGAGGAAGGCTTACAAGGGGTAATGTTCTGGATCACACAGCAGTGTGATGGAAATTATAAGGGACTCTTGTCACTCTCCAAACCGTAGTCTTTTTCTTTCACAGTGGTAGAGACAATCCAAGTGTGTGGATTCAGGAGTCAATGCCTGAATTTTTTAATTTAAACAGAATTTAAGCTCTCAGGGGTCAAGTATTTTTTTTTTTTTAAACTCTGTAAATCAATTTACCTCTGTCTTGTGGAGTCTGCACCCAGGCAGGCAAACTGTAATAGGTAAGATTTATTCCAAGGCCTTGCTGTCCCTCACCTGGGATAAACTGTCCCAGGGGAGAAGAGGAAACTCCATGAGAGAACTTTTATGCTTGTCCAGCTGGCCAGGAGGCAGAGTTTCACACACACAAGAAGCTGGAAGCTTGATCTCCCATGACCCCCAAAGATCTACACAGATCTCAAGGAAGCAAAGGGCATCCCAAATGGACTCCCTTGTCCCTGGTCTACCATCCTGGTCCTTCCTGGCCCATCAACTTCGGCGAGAACCATGCTCCCATGGGCTTCCTGCTAAAGAAGGGGTTGGGGGTGGTGGCAACATGAGTTAATTCAGCGAAAGACTGTTTTACTTTTAAATTGTATTCCCCAGAGCTTGTGTGAGGAGAAGCTGCAGGAGCCTAGGTAGGTCCCTAAGCCCCTGAAGGTCTGCAGAGCTGCAGCCCCAAGGAGGTGCTTGGGGGACGTGGAAGGGAGAGGAATATGCGCCTGAGGTGAGACTGCTCTTCCCCCCACTTTCTACAGAGACAGGCTCCCCTCTGTGCACAGATATTGAGAAGAGGAACACAGAGCCTGCAGGGCTTTGTGGGTGGAAGGGCCTTGTGTTAGTGATCTGCAGTGGAGTGAATTACTTCCAGCCTGAACAGAGGAGTGAATTGCTTTCATTCCTCATGCAGTGCTGGTCTTAAAGGGACAAATTTTGCCCTCACATATACACATGAGGTTCCCACTGAAATCCATGAGAGCTCCGCATGTGTATTCAAATGCAGAACTAATCTCATAGTCTAAGTCTAGTTCTAATTATTTTTTCATTACCACTGTTAGACAAGCTACCAAAATGCATGCAGCTTAAGTCATTAAAATTTTCTTCATAAGGGCAACTTGGTCTAGTTTCAAATATAAGTCGTTAAAACACATACGCAACCAAAAATAGACTCACCCTCTACAGACTTAGTCCAATTAAAACTGACAATGTTAATACAGGATATATATTTCTAATTGCTCCATTCTGCAGTTTCTCTAGGTTGGAAGGGGACTGCAGTTTAAACTAGTCTGCATCACACTTTTACCAGTGCTGGAATGTGTAGAGAACCGCAACGGAGAGGTCCATGTGTTTCTGCACAAATTTGGAGCGTGCCCCTACCACATTTCATTAGCTCTTTGAAACCTGTATCAGTCTGTATTTTTCATTAATAAAAAGAAAAATCAACTTCAACTGCACCCTGAGGAGTGACACACAAGGAATGATACAGAAGAACTTATGAAAAACAAAAACAACGTAGATATCAAAAGCAATTCCAAAACCTTTTCAGAATTCACTTTAAACAGCTGGCAGGGGTTGTGGATTGGAAGGATTTAAATTCATGTGAATTTTACTTCACAGATATTCGGAGTAAAGATAAAAGTTCAGTCCTTATGTCCTATACAATCAGTGCTCTTGTTTTTAATTAAAAAAGTAAAAGTGGAGTGCTTTCTTGTATCAAAATTGTCACAGGATGTTACGTAGTATAAAAATCCATATACAACTTAAAACACACCATTCCCATGTGCTGCTCGGTAAAGCTGTACTCAAAGCCAAGGCTACTGTTACAACTTCTACGTTAGCAGAAGACAACTTTACAATGAGCACACTCAAGAGGAAATTCAGGGTCCTGTAGCATTCTAGCTGAGGTAGGCTTAAAACAGACCCACTTAATTAAAAAATCCTGCACAGGGTCAGATGGTATTTAAAAACAGACAAAGAAAACACAGCTGATCTCTGCTAAACTTTTAACAAACTGAAATTAATACAAAACAGTTATTTCCATGTCTTAAAATGCACTAATAGAACATATCACAGTCTTGGAGGAAAGCATATCTGCTCTTTCACTTAACAGTTTGAGGTTTTTTTTTTCTGTTATGCTTTCTAGTTCAGTTGTGATATAAAAGAAGCTACATTTCTGTTCTGTAAGGGGAGGCTGGGTAAAATGAATGGGTGGATATAAGCATCCTGCACAGATGGTTATAGATTGCTTTTGACTTACTACTTCATTCTGGGTTGCTCTAATACCCCATTTTTCATCCTTCCCCAATGGCTGTTCATTATGATGGCATCTTTCCTGTAACCAGAAGTGCAAGACCCTCTGTCACAGTGGAATCTGCCATCACTTGGTATTACCTGTAGTGGGGAATGCACTTAAGCTGGAGATCATATGTGCGCCTGCAGCAATGTGCCTGATTTCCAGCATCCCATCCATGAAGAGCTCCTTGGATAGACCTGTGCCTAAAGTTTTACACAAGGCAGTGAGCTGGAATTTTGGTTTAAAAATTGCTTTTCAGGTATACTGACCACACAACATATTAAAATCTGTGTGCCATATATATATATATATAAAGGGCATGGGTGTACACATGTGTATGTGTACAGATGTGTGTGTGTGTGTAGGAAGCATGATTAAAAAGGAAACAGTATAACAATAGTATGCAGCAGGCTATGGTGTTTCTGTTTATTAGCACCACATTTAGGCTGGATCATGAGGGCAGAGTTCTAGGTGCAGTGTCATGATGCAATCTGTTGGGGCTTGCTACTATAAATTAGCTCAGTTAACCACTCTTCCCTCCGAAAAATACACACATGCACACATTATTTTGTTGAGAGAGAGAAAGAAATTGAGAATCAAAATATTTACTGCTGACTGCATGCTGGCAAAGGTGCTGTCTAGTATTGCCATGGATTGAAACCATCAGTGGCCAATCAGTCGCTTACTTTTGTGGATGCCATTTGACAAGGCTTCTCATTTTAATATGTTTGAGGTGACCACAAAATTCCTGAGTTGCAGGATAAAGTCAAAACCTACAAGATTTTTAGGCCCCCAGTTCAGCAAAGCATTTGAGCACGTGCTTAAGTGCTTTGCTGGATCAGGGCCTTAATTAGTTCATCCCAGCTGAGTAGAAAATTAAGACCTTTGATCCCAAGAGATGTTGCCTATCCACAGCTCCCAGGGAAGTCTACGGGCACTGCAGGTGCTCAGCACCTATCAGGATCAAGGCTATAAAGTATCACTCCTCTTCCCAACACAGTCTATTTTGTGTATACCATTTTTAAAGAAACATCTGTGATCACTTCTCTGGACTCTCCTCTGCTCCCTTTTCAGAAGACGATTGTTGCTGGTAACTGAAATGAGTTCTCCTGTTTGTGAGCCCAAAAGCCACTGCAGTCACACTGAAATGAGAAGTACTAAGGTTTATTGAGCAGTTTTAACCACCACTAGGTATATACCCTAGTGCTAACTAAAATGAGCACTAATTTTGTATAAAAGTACATAGGGCCTAATCTTGTTGCCATTGAAGTCAGTGGGAGCATAATTAATAAATGCATTTAAGGCCAGAAGGGACCTTCTGCATAACACAGGGCAATGAACCTCCCCCAGTAATTTCTGCTTCAAGCCCATAACTTCTGTTTGAACTATAGCATAGCTATTAAAAGATAACCAGTCTTGATTTAAAGAACTCAAGTGATGGAGAATCCATCACCTCCCTAGATAAATTGTTCCGATGATTAATTGCCCTCACTGTTAATCATCTATTCACAATAATCATGTGAAGCGCACATCCAATTATGAAAGGGAAAATGTGCTCATTTTAGCTGTCACTATGTGTCCATAGTGTGCTGTATATATGTGCTTTTGTACTAAAATGCAGGAATGCACACCCATTGTAATACAAAAAAAACATTCTATAAGCATTCTTGTTACCAGTGTGAAATTAAAAATGGATGTGGATTAATGTTAATTATCAGATCACACAGTGCTAGTTAGCAAAGTTCTGCGTAAGTGTTAGTCTAATTTAGGGATGACACTGCTTTTCTACTGACAGCGAATAATGACAAATTGTATTTAGAAAGGTTACAAAATCCAGCATAGGGTTAGGCAGCAGGAGCTCAGTTAGTTACTGGGTAGCTTTGGCTGTCTTACACTCTGTGGCACCTCCAGTCCTGTGTGCAGAGTCACCTATGCAGAAAAGAAATAATTGCTTAGTTAAAATACAAATTGGGACATCTTTAGTACAAAGGGTTTGTGAAGGCCAAGAATATGTGGTTAATGGTGAAAAGCTAATGTCACCAGGGGAGGCCCAACGTACAAATGATTCTTCCCCTGAGGCCAGGTCTACACTACAAACTTACATTGGTATAGCTACGTTGCTCAGGGGTGTGAACAACCCACACCCCTGTGTGGCGCAGTTATACCGACCTAACCCCCGAAGTAGACAGAGCGTCTCCCACCGACACAGCTACTGCCTCTCGCAGAGGTGGATTAACTACGCTGACAGGAGAAGCTCTCCCGTCGGCGTAGTAGTGTGGTATCTTCACTAAAGTGATACAGTAGCGCAGCTGCACTGGTGGGGCACTGCAGCTTTTTAAGTGTAGACCTACCCTGAGTCTAGCTGCCAGGTGTTTGTGACTCTTTCCAAGGCTAGCAACCATTTATCAGCCACCGCTGAGCCAGCTGCTTCTTGTCACCAGGAAGGGTGACCCCAGATGGAATGGGTACCCAAGGGGTTATGAGGCAGGTGGAAAGAGGACTGGGGAGAGGTCTTCTGAAGCATACAAAGCAGAGTCTGGTAGACCTTTCCCTGCTACCCGGTCAGTGTAGGACAGAGGAGGTTTTACAGCTCTCACCATAGCCCGACACCACTGTCATCTACCAGGGTTCTTACAATGGCACCCATCACTGTAGGATCTGAGCACCTCCCAGGAGCTCTCTCAAGCTTAAACTCACAAAAGGGTTCTCCCCCGCCCCCTCATCTGCATCTAGTTCCATGGGCAGGGCAGAGTGAATGGAGGGCATGTTGTGACAGCAGTGGTGTAGCAGACTGGCTGGGGCGCCTGGGTAATGGGAGGAATTGGACTGCAGCACTATAACTACCAGAAAGGCCCTAACTAACAAGCCATGTAACTTCAATGTCATTTTCCTAGTACCGTGTGTCTGTCTGATCTATTTAGATTGTATGATCTGTGGGGGAAGAACTATGGGTCAGATTTTTAAAGGAATTTAGGTGCCTAAAGATACAGATAGGTGCCTAGTGGGATTTTCATGTCCTTCCTTCCTTCCTTCAGTGAACAGTATCTAGTATAAATGTAGCTGTAATTGGGCCTGGACTGTTTAGTAGGAGTTTATTGCTGTCACGCGACATCCTTGGAATGAAGGACTCTCTACCCTTGGAGAAAAAGAGGAATCAGCTGGGGTTAAAGCAGCATGCAGGCAACCCAAGTCAGAGGGAAGAGACTTATGAGGTCCGGCAGTCTCTCTACCCACGCAGGTACCACACTTGGTCATTGTGCATTCAGGTTGGCATAACATGAACCCTCCAGCCTTTCAGGTGCTGCGGCACATGTAGGATCTGATTCTCCGTTACATTAAAGCCCCATTCTAGCAGTACAAAGGAGCGTTAATCTGGGTTAGCATAAATTACATTTACACCATCAACCTCAGAGAATATATTAGTGTTTCCAAATGTCATGAATTAAAGAGTGCGAATGAAATGCTTACTAGGTCTTCTCTTTCAAACTAGACATTCTTTGATCTACATTTTCTTAGCTTTATTTACCACCAGGCGTGTGTGTGTGTGTACCTATTTATTATTTCTAAAGCATCATTTCCCTATATCTGAGATGTGATACAAAAAAGTTAAATCCAACTATTTTCTTTTAAAAAGTGGCACTAGCCCAGATACAATCAGCAAACAAAACTAGGCAAAGTGAAAAAAAAATCCATATTTACACCTAACAGCTGCATCTCGATCTCTTCTCTCTGGCAGTCATGCAATAAAACTTTTAACAGGCAGTAGGATTTCTCCTTTGGTTGACATGCTGAATGAGTTAGACTGAACTGAAAAGGATTTACCTGTACATTTCGGTTGAGGCTTAATGCAGGCATGAAGACACCCTCCACATTTTCAAATGCTGGAGGTCCTTGCTGCTGCCCATTTATGTAAAAGGTCAGGCTGTGCTTGTTTAGGTCCAGGAGAACGCCCACAGTGGCACCTTTAGAAACACCCCCTTCTGTCCTAAGAAACAAAGTGACCGTATTGTCCATCTTAGAGGAGGCAGATTGTTACATTCCAGCCTCCCTCTATTTCAGCCAATCTTACTGAAGTGAAAGGAAAGTGGAGCAGCCTGGTAAAATTAGTATTAGTTGGAGGACATCTGCTAAAGGCCTTTTCTCCGTGCGTAGTTCCCATTTTCCACTAAATGCAGGCAGCCCTGAGAAATGAGGCCCCATAAGGTCATATCCACCCAGTGGGTACATTTTGGCAGAGCTGAAAAAGCTCAAAGGGCTTGACAGAGAAAGGGGGAGTTAAACTAACAGGATAGAGCAGAGACGTTGAGGATGGAAAAGTTATTGTTTGAAACCAGTACTCTTCAGACCTCACATTCTGGAGGGAATATGTTCATATTAATAAAGAACTGATCCTAAGGGCTTTCACTGAAATCCACAGGATTGTTCACATAAGTAAAGGCTGCAGGAACTGACCTAAATGTTAATGTGCATTCGAGGTCTCAGATAGGGCAGCAAATTGAACTCTTTATAAGATAGATTGTAAGAACAGACAGTAGCTTATAACTGTTGAAATCCCTTTTTGCCTGAACCAAATACACAGCATTAATTCTATTTTAATTTGGTTATCACAGCTAGCAATTGGGATCTACTCTGCTCTAGTCAGAGGTACCGACTTTCTGCTTTCCCCAGGGGTGCTTGACCTCCACTCTGCTCCAGGCCCCACCCCCACTCCATTCCTTCCCCCAAAGGCCCACCCACACCCCACCTGTTCCCGCCCCTGCACCGCCCCCTCCCCTGAGTGTGCCCCACACTCGCTCCTTCCCCTACCCCCCGGGGCCTCCTGCACACCACTGAACACCTGATCACCGGTCGGTGGGAGGCACTGGGGGGAAGGGGAAGGAGTGGATCAGCGGTACCGCTGGTGGGTGCTGAGCACCCACTATTTTTTCCCCATAGGTGCTCCAGCCATGGAGCACCCATGGAGTTGGTGCCTGTGGCTCTAGTTGCAGGCCAGGACCTAAAAATTATGTCCAAAAATAGCAGACAATTTAGGCTGCCCTCAGCTGGGGGGGAATGGGCTCAGTTTACTATGAATTGCATAGATCAGGGGACCTGAGAGTTCGGCACCCAGAAATGGCTTTGTGACATTGTGTGTGATGTGGTACAGAGGTGAAAAAGCAAAGTTTGTTTTTATTGATTAACAGCACTCGGATAAGGTTTTCAAAAATGATTAGTGATTTTGGAGTGTCTCCATTTTTGGGTGTCCCACAGAAGATACCTTAAAGAGGCCTGATTTGCCAGAGGGCATGGTACTAATGCGGGGGTAGCAGGAGCTGGTTCAAGGTGGAAGTAGAAGCTGATTAGGGGTATGCTCCCTCACTGCACTAAGCTGGTGGCTAGAAGTGGGAGCCAGTTCAGGGACTGAGAGTGTTGAGTTATTGGGCTAGGAGCTGTTTCAAGTGTTGGGGGTTTGGTGGTGGTGGTGATAATCATGTGTGTCAGGAGCAGCTATTGAGAACTACTGTAGCACCAGAGTCCTACCATGATGACAGATTCAGCCAACTCTTATACGCAAGAATAATCTGACATTCATGCACTTGTCCTTTAAGGACTAGGCTAGCCCAATATCATACTACTTTAAAGAGCATGGAGCTAGAAAACCACTAGATATGTGGATTGGCCCTAGGCGTTGAAGCTTTTAATGTCACTGGAATTCTGCAAGGGAATTATAGCCTGACGTGTATAGATTCAGTGTTTATAATATTTTAAAAAATGTACAGCAGAAGAGAAAACAACCCCCCCACAATTCACAGAATGTCTAGTGATCAACAATAACATGCATGCCAATCTGAAAAGTATGATTAGGGCCAAATATGTGGAACAAGAGATTTGATATTATTGGTAATGGCTGTTTTAGTTTTGTCCACCAGGTGGCACAAGATAGTTTTCTTTAGATTAGACCAGTGGTTTAAAACCTTCTTTCATTTGAGGATCCCTACAAAATTTCAACTGGAGGTGCTGAACCCTTTGGAAATCTTAGATATAGTCTGTGGACCCCCAGCGGTTCCACGGACCACAGGTTGAAAAGCACTGTTCTATGGCAGACAACCTTTCGTGGACTCCCTTAGACACAGTGTGTGGACCTCCAGGAGTTCTCAGACCACAGATTGAAAAACCACATGATTAGACCATTGCGTGACTAAGCCCAGCTCCCCATGAACTCAAAGGGAGTTTTCCTACTGACTTCAGTGGAAATAGGATTGGGTTGATAATGAGAACATGGCACATTCTTTCCCTAATGAAATCTCTTCAGACAATACCAGTATTCCATTCAAAACTCAAGAATTAGTCCCCCCACCTAATCATGAGATCAGTTTAAAAAAAAACAACACAAAATAATAACTATGGGATTCTTTTTTTTGCCTCCCAGTGTAATAGTCACTCGGGATCATGTTTTCAAGATTTGCTCTAGAACCAGGAGGGCTAGAAACCTACATTTTTTTTAAATGCAAGATGAGATTTTCATAACCTAATTACATGAATCCAGAGTCTTTAAAAAAACAAACAAACACACAGCAAATATTGCAAGACTCATGATAAAAATGGCAAGAACTGGTAACACTGAGATAACAGAGATATTTTTCTGATAGATCATATTTTTTCCCCTCTTAGTACCTGCTTTGATTACAAATTTTGTCCAGCTTTACATCCTGCAGCATGCGGCTGAGTTTTTAAATATACTTTATGTCATCTTTTAAAATGTCACTTAGCAGAAACATTGATCCTCTCCAAGAGCAGAAATATAAGCTTCACCCTTTTTGATGGTATTATGCTCCTACCTATATAAGAAGTTAATTGATTCTCTGAGGCTAATGAATTGTGTGGTAAACCACTGGTTCTCAACCAGGGGTCTGGGGCCCTCTGGGGGGGCCGCAAGCAGGTTTCAGGTG